TTAATGGTTTTTGTTTGGGCATATTTCCAAGTTTCATTCATTACAAAATTGAGTCGTATTATCTTGTGCTGTATTAAAAGTTACTATAGTACAGGGTTTTTTTTGTCAAAAATGGTGAGATATGAATTCTTCATTTTAATAATTTATTTTAATGCATATACATGTTCCTATTTTGTGTGAAAAATTGATCAAAATTAATATTTTAATAAAATTTTAAAGATGGTCAAAAAGTTGACCTATGACCATGGCTGTAGTACAGAGAATTTTTTCAAAAATACCTAGAAAAAAATTTCATTTCAATAATTTTTTTCTGATGCACATACATGTTCTGATACTGTAATTTGAGCTAATTTTGATCAAATTTAATTTTTTAATGAATTTTTAAAGTTACTCTATAATTGGGCCGAAGTTCCTGTACAGAAAATTTGGCCATCTTTTGTCAAAATAAGAATTCTTCATTTTGTAATTTTTTTCTTATACATATACATGTTTTTATGTGGTATAGCAAGTTTGAGCTAATTCCAATTAAATTTTAATTAAAAATTTTTTTTAATTACTCAAAAATTTAGCCAAAGTCCTTTTACAGGATATTGGCCAAATTTTGTCAAAAATGGCTAGAAGAGAATTTTCCATTTTTATAATTTTTATGATACGTATACATGTTCTTATGTTGTGTAGCAAGTTTGAGCTGATTTTGATCAAATATAAATTTTTTATGAATTTTTAAAGTTACTCAAAAATTGGGCTAAAATTTGGCTAGGAGAGAATTTTCTATTTTTATAATTTTTTCTGATACATATACATGTTTTTATGTTGTGTAGCAAGTTTGAGCTGATTCCGATCAAATTTAATTTTTTTATGAATTTTTAAAGTTGCTCAAAAATCTAGCCTGAGACCATGAGCTATCGTATGATGGCTCCTAGAGTCAATAGATCTTGTTACATTCATATTGCTATTCATGCTCTGTACATAGAAGCACTTGTAGCAAGGGCACAGTACATGATGTCATTTATGTGAGAAATGACATGACATGATCTGTAAACACAAAGTCACATGCACACAGCATGCGTGCACTTAAAGCTCTCCTTGCATTATGAGTTATAGTGTTATACTAATAAGTCAGCCTGTCTTTCCTGTTTTGGGATGTTTTTCATCATGCACTGTTAATGTCAGCCCTTGTGTGGATAATAATTGTATAAACTGTTTGGACCTCAAAGAAGCATATGTACAAACACATTTAAACCCTTTTATCTTTATTTACCTTTGCTATACCCATTTGACTAATATACGTAATACACTTTTTGTTACAATGTACATGTACATGTACTCTTTCTGTTTTAATTTTCTCTTTCTC